CCCCCCACCGCCCCGCTGTCCCTTCAGAGGAGGCATTTAAGAAAAAAACAAAAAAAAGCCTCAAAAACTGCAACCACCCATAAAATTTCAAATTTCTGGGGATGACGTCAGGGATGACAACTCTCCGCTGCTTGAATATTCGCTTTGTTTTATTCAAACGCCAGAGGTGAAGTACAAACTGTAATTACACAGCATTTTGTTTCCTTAAAAACAGTTCTTGGTTACATAATTCCAAACAACTTTCAAAACTAAGTTGTTGAACAGTTTCGCCTAAAACGTTGGGTTTTTTTCAAGCCATTTAAAAAAGGGTTTGAATTAAAGGATTCAGAATTAAAACGGTTATTTTTTTTTTTTTTTCACTCTACAAAAAGGAAAGTGAGGACGCAGTTACAGATAGTTCACCACAGATTCCCAGTTTGAGGGGACTAAACTTCTCCTAGAAATATCTTCAACTTTAAAGGCAGCTTTTTCTGAACCATTACTGGGTCATTTAACCTGAAAAAACCTGAAATCCTAAGGGAAGTATCTGTTGCATCTGGCTACAACTGCATGTCACGTTGCACCTAGGTAAGAACACGAGTATTACAGAAAATTTACATGACAAATTAATGACAAAAATAGGGTCAACACATCCGCAGTATCCCTCCCTCTCCTAAAACACCCACTAGACTGAGAAGAATAAGGAAAGTTTTATTTAAATAGCTTGAATTAAAAATTTAGAAAAAGGGGACATAAAACTTAAGTCCACATATCACTGAAGGACAAAACAAAGTTGTAAGCAACAATTTTAATTCCTGAAACAAATAAAAAAAACCATACAGATCCTTTAGTGTTTTTTTGTTTGTTTTGTATTTTTTTTTTTAACAAAGACTTTCCTAAAGGATTGAATTAGTTTTGGTGTAGAACAGAAGAGGGAGAATCGCTCTGCTGCAAGACTAAAAATCAAAGACAAAACCACAAGATGCAATACTAGCATTTCAGCATATAACTTAAAAAGCACTGTGTCATGTGAACAATCACTACTGATTACATCAAAAATATTACACATTTACTTCTTTCATCTCTTAACATTATAAGATAGGTTGGGCAAATACCTGGCACCAAAAAATTGATGCATGATAGTTCCAATACGTTAAACAAAATGTACTATATTAGAACATTAATATTTAAAAATTTATGTCAACCTCTCGTCCAAATTCAGATGGCTTACCACTTTCTAGAAATCTTGTTTACCCCTCTGGAAAAAATGAGCAAATTACTGACTTTGCCTTCTTTCACAGTATTCAAGGTGACCGACCCTTACTCCTAACGGGGAGGTGAAGGAAAGGCTTTTATTTGATATTGCATTCAAATTACTGTAACAAACTAGTGTCACATTTTAGAAAAATCTCCCAGCAGTGGCATAAAGCGTGTCCCAGTTTTTCAAAAACCCTTTTGCAAGGGCTTCCTCCCCCACCAATGTAACAAGTCACTCCAGCACCCACCGGGTTTCAAACACCAGCAGAAATCTAACACTGACCTGAACGTAACCCCCTCCGCGCATCGTATGAGGAGCTAATAGTTTATTCACCCTTTACTAATTATTAATCTTGATTTCCCATTTGTAGAGTAACATTATTGTAAAATCTAACTACTGGCAGCATCTGCATTGCTGTTTAAATTCCTAGAAAAAGCAATCCAGGTGCTGCTATATTTGCTATACATTTTAATTGAACAAGTGTAATATACAATTCATATTTGAACATTATGCCATCCAAGTCCACACAATGTCCATCAAATAAATCAATGTGATGTTGCAACAAAATACACAATCTGATTTATCTAATGAAGTTCCTCATCACGTATCATAGCCGAGATAGATCCAATGCCTTTAGTATCAGACTGAAGCCAGAGGAAATCGTAAGGAAACAACCAAGTGCGCTTTATGCAGGCGAGCATTCTGACAGTATTTAATGGTTTGCAGCATCTGCTTGTCGAGGCCAGCCTTCGTCCTCAACGCCAGAGTCATATTCTTCTTCAGATGAATCTTTAGTGGGAGCCCTATAATTAAAACGAACTGATCAGATACCTTAGAAATTGAGGAAAAGAATGGAGACAGTTTCCATAGCTTCTGGTAAACATGCCATCTGCAAAGCGCCCCAGTGACAACTGTTCTGACAAGCATCCATCTGCTAAACACCCTTCTGATCTGATAATGTGCAGATTTACACTACTCCCAAGATGCAGTCTCATTACTGAATTCAATAGCCTGTTGATTTCCAGTAAAGTCGTTTGATTTAATCAGTAAATTTTAAAATTTTCAGCAAACGTGGGTGCTGGTGCTCTACATAATCACTTAAAGCAACCACCTCTGTAAGAGTAGTATTTTCCACTCCAATCATTCCCTTTGAGATACTAGGTGTGCTGAGCCAAGCTTCAGGCACACACACACAGATAAATACATAACATGTACTCCAAAAAGTCGTCAGAGGTGGAAACCAAGCCAGAGGTCCTAAATTTCAGACCTGTATTTTTAACCTGACCCATCCCCTCTCAACTCCATCCTTTGTTCACTAAAATTATTTTTTCTTAAATCCAGATATATCCAGTGCTTTCAGTGTTCCACCACACCATTACCATCATACAATCTTTACAACATGAAATTATTTTAACAAGAGTTCAGCAGATCAATAGATGTGCCTTTGTGGCTCTCCACTGCTGCCAGAGCAACAGAGAAGAAAACTGCAGCAGGCTGGAGCTTGCAAAAAAAAAACAACCAAACCAAACCAAACAAAACAACAAACCTCAGTGGCAGAAAGTAGAAGGAAGAAGGAAAAAGTTCTGTTTCAGAAATTTCAGTACAGTCACAGTTAAACTTCAGATTTTTACTGTTAACCTATGATGCTTACAATTTACTTCTAATTCTACAGGTATACACACACACACACACAAAAAGCTTAAATTAACTTCATATACAAGTTTATTTTTAAATTTTTAAATTTCTATTTAAAAACTAAAGCAATACAAACCCAAAGTCTCTAGGACAGAACAGGCACTAATTCAGCTGTGTACAGTATACAGAGAATTGGATCCTTTTTAGGCTGTGTGCATGGTTTTGTGTTTATACGCTTGTTCCTACAGTAAACATCAGAATACCTGTCTAGCTGTATTACTCATCTGTTCTGATACTTCTGTTACGGCTTTACCTAATGTATCCTGGCTCTTTTTTGCCTTCTACAACATCTTTGTCAACTTCCACGCATACGATGTCAGAATTGGGCACTTCAAACATGGGCTCCAGCAACAGCTTTTCCTACAAGAAAACAGAGGTGAAAAAAATATTTCTACATAACAATACGGTTAGCAAGTGATTTTCAGAGCTAGAGAGTTTTCTTGGAAGAACTCTGAATACCTGCAGTTTGGAAAGAGACTTACTGTATCCACACAAGATCCAGAACTAAGTGAGGGGTGACTGAAAAGTGTCACAATTGGGTCCATATACACAAATGTAGGTAGCGTTATTTACTCTCTATGAGACGTAATTTACTCACCATTATAGATCGAAGACCTCTTGCACCAGTTTTTCTGTCCAGGGCCAGTCTGGCTATAGCCTTCAACGCATCTTCAGTTACATTTAATTCACACTACATAGAGAAAAATGGTAAGCTTAGGTAATTATTTCATTTATAACTGTTGAGTGCAACAGCACAAGCATTACTGAAAACAACAAACAGTAGCAATTTGTTACAGACCAGAGCATTTAACACTCCAACTACATACATAAAGTTCCAGCTACACTTTGGTTGTGACTAACCTTACCAGTATTGACTATGTCCCTTTACCTACACTACTCTAAGTACCTCTACGGCACGTGAAGTGGCTCTTCATGCCTATTACACAAGGTCACAGATGTTCATTTGAATGCTAACATGAAGAGCAGCCCGACTACTTCCAGATTACTTGTCCCCCTTACCCAATCTAAACCAGTCGGGTTTTCACAAGTTAGCTCCCCCCCACCCCCGCCCCGAGTGGGGAGGTGCACATATGGAAGGAAAGAAGAGATTTCAATTAATATTTTAGATTGCTTTAACATTGTATTTATAAACAAAAATATTGAAGACTTGTCAAATAAAGATCCAAACCTTATCCATGCTGAATAGTGCCTGGTATTGAGGAACCACAGCATTTCGTGGCTCAGTGAGAATCCGTACAAGGGTTTTCTCATCTAGGCTGTGCAAAGGAACCACAACAGGCAAACGTCCCACAAACTCAGGAATCATGCCAAACTCAATGAGATCCCTGGCTTCCACATGACGCAGCAAACGATCCTTTTCTTCAATATCTTCATGTGGATCGGACTCTCCGCTTATATTAGCAAGATCAGCTGCTGCTGCAGCCCTTCTGCCTTTTCCCATATTAGATGGTGTCCCAAATCCTAGGTACTGCAAAATAAACATGTTATGCTTACAGAGCTATAATAGTTAAGTTTTCTTTGTCTAACTAAATCCCATTCCGTGTGCATAAAAAAAAAAATCTGGAGTGACAGATTATGTCATTACATATTAATTCATATTTAAGAAATTACTTATAGAAAAATTAGACCCCTTGCACACAATCAATTTCTTGGGACACTTAATTCCCTCTAAGGCATCAACACATCAGACTGAATAAAAGCAAGTTATTCTTAAAATAAAAAATGTTAATAACATGTCCTGGTAATCTTACAAATACCAATGACACTAAAAAGGACTCTTTGGAAGTGAAGCAAATGCATGCAAGAATGCTTACATGAAGAGCTACATGAATCATCATAAACACTAATGATGATAGCTTTTAACACCATTTGCTCAAACTATCCAAGTATCAACAGTAAACTTTTAGATATCAGTAGAAAAAAAGCCTTTTTTTTTTTTCCTTCATTTTCATACTTGGTACACTCGGCTGTTCCAGCTGAAAGAAATCCTGTTATAATTGCTAGAACTGTTTCACATATTCTAAGAAACACAGGACATGACACCAATGTAAGAAGTGTACCGCTTAAGTACGGACAGCAAGTCCTGTACCAATGCTTTCCAACCCTTCCCCCCACCACTATTTTTTTTTCTATTTGCACATGCTAAAAATTTCTCTGTGGAAGCAGAGACCACTGCAAGCTCCTTAAGCCTACTAACAATAGGCTTGTTCTTTGCTCCCTTTCTTAGGCTTGACCTCAGGTTCCCAGGTAACAGATGAAAAACCACTGCTCTACAAACTTAGTGGGTTTACAAATATAACAAGACCTTTAGGAGTCAGTACCGTGAACAGTAATTAAGATAATAATTTTCCAGTTCAAACATAGCCTGAGACACTCACTTTTTCATTTTTCCTCCTGCTGATAATTCTGTCAAGACCATTAAAAGCACCAGAAGCTACAAAGAGGATGTTTGTCGTGTCGACCTGCACTGTTTCTCCACGTAGTTTACGAGAATTCTTTTCTGGAACATTTACTATTGTACCTTCTAGCAATTTTAACAAGCCCTAGGAAGGAAAGAAGAAAAAAGCAATATAAAATTCCACTATGTAGCATCATATAAGAAGGCACACCTTACTGTGCTTACTTTCACAGATGTACTTACATTTTTTGCTTCCTTACGCCTTTATAGTAAATGTCTAAAGAAATCAGTTTTCCATACAAGAGAATCCCACTCAAGGATAAACAATCTTCCTTTAGCACGACTTCCATGCACATTGTAAGGTGCACTTAGTAATCAGTTGCTTTAAGAGTTTTGTCAAAATAGAAAATGTTATCTACTCTTGCCTACATTATGCAATGTGTTATCTGAATGCTGCAAAGACTTTTTCAACTGAAATGTTTCTATGGAGCAGTCTTGAGTTGCTTTTGAGATTTTATTTTTTTTAAAATTAAGAAAGTAAAGAAGCAAGATGAAGGTTTCAAAGGTTAATAATTAAGGAACATGAAGAACTATGACTCCATACTCTCCTGTGCTATTTGACATATGATAGGATAATACATAGACTTGATGGGCTGCTCGCTTACATAGTAAAATCACTCCACAGAAGTACTTACTTGTTGAACACCTTCTCCTCCAACATCCCGTAACTGATGAATACCAGGAACGCTGCCAATCTTATCTACTTCATCCAGAAAAACAATTCCTGCAGCCACAGAAAATGGATTTAAGGAAGACTCCACTTTAAGAGAAGCAGGAACTTACGCACAGGAAAGAACATAATTTAAGACAGCAGCAGTCTGTTCTACTTCCATACTGTAGATTGCAAAAGCGTATGCAAACTTGTCCAACTATGGACAAGAACAAAAACTACAATATATGTTTAGAGCTCTTTTCAGGTTCATTATTTCCGATTTAAAGTGTTAAAATTCAGGCATGTGCAACAGGAATCTAAATTACAAATATACTGGTGGTCTCAAAGGTTAGAGCACTTAGGCGAGATTAACACCGTGTTATGAATGAACTTCTGAAATACACTGTAAAGTTTACCTTGCTGAGCTTTTTCTACATTGTAGTTGGCATCTTGCAGGAGTTTTGCAATAACAGATTCAATGTCTTCACCAACATAGCCAGCTTGAGTCAAAGTAGTACAATCACAGATAGCAAAAGGTACATCTAGGCATTTAGCTAGAGTTTGAGCCAGCAAGGTTTTACCTGATAAAATAAAAACTGTATGTTACAGCTGCCATACATTTCTCTAGAGCACCATGGGATCTTGTATTTACCATGGGATCATCATTACTGCCATTAGACAGTTTGAATGATGCCAGCATGTTCATATATTCGCGTAAGAATATTCTTCCAAGGGAGCTAGTTGTCACCATCAGTGTATTTTTATGTTGTACAACTATATTTCTGAATTAGAATAATATCACACATTTGAGGCAGCTTGAAATGCATATAGCATCAAAAATAAAATGCCACACTATATAAACTAAAGTACGTGTACTTGCATAGATTAAAGATTAAGTAAACCAGTAGCCCTTTGCAGACACTCAGGTGCAGTGCAAAGTCCAATTGCTCCTCCTTGAAATTGGGGAGAAACAAAATTAAAATATTAATTAGTGAACATTCTCCCAAATAGTCTGCAAAATGCTATCACTTCAGCACAAACACTCCCGCTTTTTATGAACACACAAATATAATTTCTCCTTTAACCCTCCTGTAACTGTCCCAGAGGTGAAACAACACTTTCTAACCACAGCATCTCAACTTGCCATCCAGAGCAAACTTTAAATGCGTTTTATTTCAGCTTAGTGAAACTTGTACCTTTTAATCAGTAAATAATACAGGCATTAAAAAAAGAAAACCACATGACCAGACCTCCTTCCTTTTCAAGGCCAGTTAGCTCAGCTTGTTACTATGGCATAAAGGCACAAAATCCCACACTGGAATTCACAGTTTAGCTTTTTATACACCAAATTGGTATAGTCACAAAAGAGAAAAATCACTCAGTAACAATCACTTCTAAGAAAAAATCTGACACCTATAAAAACATGCAGCTGTATACCTGATCCAGTTGGTCCAAGCAGCAAAATATTACTTTTTTCAAGTTTTATGTCATCATTAGGTGAATCTAGTACTTCTCCTCCCCGTTTTTCCTGAGGTATCTGCTGGTTCATTTGTTGCTGCATTGATGCTCCTAAAGCATTGCCGTGTGGACTGATTCCAGCAATCTGCAGTAGTTCTGAAGAGAGCAATAGTAGAACTGTTTGAGCACTGACAAGGTCTGCCATTACCTTAAATAAAAGCTCGATTCTTCTCTTTTGTTCTGCAAACCTGTAATTCTATCTATCTGTAGAGAAGTTGAGAGACAGGACTGCAACAGAAATATGGCAATTATCACAAAAACATGAGTTCCAATCACATTTTTGCACAAGCATGTATTTGCATATATGAAAAGAATTTCCACTGGTACAGTGAATTATCTAAAAGTATTTCTCTATATTAAAAACAAGAGCTAGAGAAATGGTTTTTTTAAACATAAAAACCCCCCAAACTATTGATGTCTATGATGAGAAAGTACAAGAACCTGCATACTATAACAATTACAAAAGAAATGCACAGGTCTACTCTCAAGAATTAAAGACTTGTCTTAGTTCAGTTATTACAGGTTTTGTCTCTATCCACGGATGCAGAGATTGAGCTGGACTTTCTTCAGAGCGCTAGAGTTTTAATTGGCTTGCAGGGTAGAATATTGAAGATTAAAAAACTGGTTTGAAGAGGTATAACTGGGATTACAAATTGCTTTATATTAGAACAAGGAAGAAGTTCAATAGCCAGTGAGAGTTCTGGTGGACTGAAAATAAACATGACTGACCTCATCCAGATTAAAAAAAAAAAAAAAAAAAAGGCATTCTGAGGTTCAAGGTGACAGTGCCTTTTAAGAGTACAAATACCCTGCAGAAAACAGTTGCCTAACTTCCCTTATTATCTACCTCCCATCATATCTTGTGTGGCATTATTAATATAATCACACCTCAGATCTAAATTAAAAATAAATCTCAATTTCTACTTGTTCTGTTGAGGACAACTCTAAGGACATATAATTATTTAACCAACTTTATATAAAGTATCTTTACATTTTACTTGCTTTTCACCTAGAACTAGATAAAGAGCCAGATCCTAGTCACCGCTGTTAAAAATACGCTCAATGCCATCAATTAAATTTACTTACAGAAGAAAAGCAAACAGGATTTTACCTAGCATTTCAAAATAGCGGTCACTAAAGACTATTCTACATTAGCATCAAAAGGGTAGATATTGCAGAGGAGGACATGAGGAGAGAGTTCACTTACTTGTAAATCTGTACTCATCCTCCCGTCTTCTGATTTCTAATTCTAAGAGAGAGGATGAAAATAGTAATAAAAAGTAAGTTTATAAAAGCTTATAAATTCTCCACCTCTTGCCCTCTTCTGAATACATCTCATCACTGTGTATGAATGTATTTCTATCAAGAAATCCCCACATTAATTTGTTTTTATTGCTGTCAAATTTAACCCAAAACCCAACTGGAACACTTTTAAAAATGACAGCGACCTTTCTACTACTTAAAACAGTAACAGCCTATTATCTCTGATTAGATTTTCATTTTAAGACCACTTATAGAAGGGGAAAAAATGCTACAGCGTAACTTTGTTTTGAAAAGGCTTTCTTAAATTCTCACATTTATACCTGTTACAATGTGAGATTTCACATATTTCAAAGTACTATCCATTGTAAACATCCACCGCTAGTTCCCCTGGGCGTGCACCAATCTATCTTCCTGTGGAGGGTCAGGAACTTCCCTGTGCCAGGTACACAACTGGTCTCCAACCCTTAACAGAACGGTGCTACTCATGTTTCTCTCTCAGTTAAAATACTTCTTTACGTAAATTCAAAAAACAAAGAAGATTTCTGTTTGCTTAGCATACTATTTATTGCAAGACAGAACAAAACCCCTCAAAAAAATAAAAATCAAGGTACACTTTGAATCAAAGACAGTAACTTAATCCTATTTCTAAAAATAAACTAGATCAACATAGCTACACACTTACTCAGTAGCAAAAGTACTGCCAAGAGTAACTCCATCTACACCTGCCAGATATGGAACAATACCATGGTGACCAACAGATGCTGCCAACCGCAGCAAGGGAGGTTAGAAAGCTAACTATTCATTAAATTCACTATGCAAAATACTGTCTTCGTGATCTGCATTGTTGCTTGCAGATTAAGCAGCAGATTTAGCCTTAAGCAGTAAATGAGATTAGAATGAAAAATTCAGGAGGCTCACTTTAAAAAGTTAAGGAAAATACCTAATATGTGTCACTAAAAAAATGCTAAATATTTAATACAGTAGACAATACCCGTGGCACCATAAACCTCCTGAATCGTTATTTAAATAAATCACAGAAGTTCACATACAGTGAAAATTAAAGTTAATAGGAATTCTTTTAGATCATTTCAATTACAGAAGATCTAGTGTCAAGGTAAAAACTTTTCTCAGTTTTCTTAAGTTAGAGCCCTGAAATGGTAAGTTTTATGTGACCAGAAAAATACGAAACATCATACAAACCTCTTGGTGTTAAAGAAGTCTGCTTTTCAACTTCTGCTTGCTGTCTCAGGTTAGCTGGGATATTATTGTAGATTCTCTTGTAGTGATTGTACACAGCAACTGAAAGCACCTTCTTGGCAAAACACTGACCAACAACGTATTTGTCGAGGTAGTTATAGATCTGAAAAATAACTCCATTTTAATAACACTTCTAAAGCACCTTGCAGCAAAAAAGAAAAAGCAGTATGTTGTGCCAAAGATTGACTTTGGACTTACAGAACTGAGAAACGGAAACCCAACATCTAAAATACAAAATATATTCCTGTTGAGCAGTTTACTTAAAAATGTGGCGCTTACACAATCATATTGTGTCTGCCAGTTCTCCCCTACTAATATTTAAACTCATTGTCATTTTCACCCACATTTGTAAGAGGAACAGAAATTTCAAGAATATTTAATGTCTCACAAGAGATCTATCCAGGAGCCACAGGCAGCTTCAGAAACCATTACAGTCCACTAGGAACTGAGAAACACTGTAAGCTCCCTCACTATTCGGGAGAGGGAAACCAAATTACTTAAGATGGGTCACCACTGCAAGCTAATCAGCCACAGTTCTCGCCCAGAAACAGGCCAAATAAAAGATTCAGCAACTACAGAAAGAAGCTGCTAACATTAGGCTGCAGAATATGAGGCCACAGCAGGAAATAAAAGATACTACAGTTAGTGAGGGTCGAGGTTAGTCTCAGGGTCACAGGGAGAAAATGAAGGTACTGGACTTCAGTCACAAAAAGCCAGAGGAAAACAAGCCCAACTGCTTTTATTAGATCTACTTGCTCCCTTTATCAGTGCTCTGGTGGGTCATATAGCTCTCAAAGGTTTAATCTTGAGCTAATCATCTTTCTTGTTTGTTGCTCTGTCACAGGAGAATGTTACACACCTGATTTAGATTAAATAGTAAAGCATTTCTCCATGCTGGAATGCAAGGAAACACTAGGCTGAAATCAAGAACTGTACCTTTTTCGGTGGAGGTGGTGGCTTCTGCTGGAATGCCAATTTCACAGCTTCTGCTGCTGACTCGGGCTCTTTAATGATGCTCTTTTTTGTGTCTGCCTCTGACAGTACAACAAAAAAATGGTGACACTTTTCACACTTCACAAAGCGGGTGGAAGCTGCAGAAAAAGTAAAACAAAATGGTAAGAAGAATCGCTCAGATGGCATTCAACTACCTGGGTTCGTCACACACAGGACAAGCACCTGTAAGACAGCACAGCCACCTCTGTTGTCTACACAACACTTCCCCTTCGTTCACCTTAGAAGCTTTAAAAGCAATTATTGGACTGAAATTTGACACAGAGGAATGCAATTTGCTGAAAAAGTCACAACACGTGGCAGCAACCAAACAAGGGATTAAAAAGCAAAAATCTATTTCGTACTTATTCAGTAGCACTATACTCCAAAGAGGAAACTTTGCATCTCAGAGTGATGCAAAATTAATGAGGGCTTCTAACTATGCTGGAGTTGTTCCTAACTCTCACACTAGCAGGCAAAGAAAAAAAAATATCATAGTAGACTAAAATGTGGGGAAGCAATCTACAGTTTCAATCTCAAAGACAACATACAGCAGGTTTGGGAAAGGATAGCTGTGGCAGCTCCGGGTCTCTGCATCCCACCAGCTATGGAACACTACGGAGCATGCTCAAGTCACCTAAGGCCAAGACACGGAGCACAGCGGGGCCACGCAAAGGGCTCATCCCAAAGAGGCAGCCGTGGTACACAACAGGCGATCAGGACTTTGGTGTTTTGCAAGAACTTTTGCTTATTTATTTTTACTGTCAAGAGTACAACAAATTCCTTTCAAATTCCAAAAGCCAAATCCTCCTACCACTGACTTTGTGAACCACGTCTCAAGAAATCACGTTATCCACAAAGTTTGGTTTCAAAAGCCTGTAAACTAGAACTTGCACTACTTTTTTTTTTCTCCCCTTTAGAAAAACAAAGTTGAAATAATCAAAAAGAAGAACAAATTTGTAATTCAAAACAGATCTTTTCTGACTATATTGCTATGCTAGGAAATGCAAATCATGCGCAATAGGGCTGATTTAAAGTAAATGTATTGGTAAACATAGTAAATTAAAAGCAAAGTAAATGTAGCAAAACAACCACATGAAAAGCGTCAATGTCAAAACTTCTGAAATCATAGAAAGTTTTTAGAAAATGGCTTGAAAACTGTAGTACCAGCTGATTTTAATAACAACCTCTAGCAATAAACAAGCTGCTTATTTATAACTTGTTGTTGCCTCCCACAGAGCTGGCATCAGCAAAAGAGGAGTGCGGTTCTATTTTAAATATTAGACACACCTTATCAACTGTATAAGTAAGACCAGCAGATTATTTTAATAACATAGCACATAATACTGTGACCATCACAGCTTTATTAACTCTACTCCAAAGAAAATTTGTATAACAGCTGGAAAGTTCTCCTGACAACATCCCAAATTAGTATTAAATAACTGATGAGAACGCAATGAAGAACCATTTGCTTTCACCTCTTTTACATAACTATTATTTAGCAATAATATCGTAAACTCAAAACACCTCTGATATTCTTAATGACTACAGCACCATGAGGCTGTTGTCCTTCCTTATGCAATGCTAATAGTCAGCTTTATTGGGATGGAATAGCCACATGAATACTTGCTCCCTTTACAGATCCACAGGAATGGTTAAAAAACCAGAAAATAAAGAGCAGCCTATAAGAATACTACTGTGCATCTTTAAAACATCATTCACTAAAAACATTATTGTGCGGAGTAAACTTTCATCAATTACTCAAAGCAGCACAGAGGAAGGTTATTAGAGATCTTCCTGATTTTCAGCAAGACCAACAGGGTCCATGGTTATGGAAAAAATGATGTATGGGGTGCCTTGGGGAGGAAACTCAGTTATCAAAACACAACTGTGAAACTGGCCAGTTTGTATCTTCCACACAGCAATCTGGAAAAAAGTATCAATATGAGTTTTAAGGGGGGGGAAGCTTGCTCTGAAATGCAAGGAAACCAAGTTTAATCTACCTCCCTAAAACCAAGCATTTGAAGTTGCAAGTGACTTTGCTATTCTTCAATACTGGCATGTTTTTGTATGTTCTTTTAGCAAACACAGAAAAGCACAGCAAAGAGCCTTCATGTCAAATTACCGCACTCTCATTAAGATGTCTGCAAATATTTACAGTGTGGTAAAATGCAAGTCAAGTGCTGTTTTTGATCTGGGCAACATTCATTCCCACAGAGGCTGCATTTGCAAAGAGATTTCTAAAGTCCCTACAGCTGACCTTGCCAAAGAGAAACACTGGGTTTTTACAATACCAAAACAATTGGAGGATTAATCTTAAAAACACTTGTAGAGTTGAGAAAATGGGCTACTATTAAACTACTATAAGGCAAAAAGACACCAGTAAAAAGAGCAGGGAAGGTTCTTGCCTATTAAGTATGTACAGTAGCAGGGAAGTCTTGCTTTGGAGGATGGGAGCTAACCTGATGGCATCAGGTGGAGACAGTAAAAGCAGTGCGTGGGTAAGGCTTCTTATGTCAATCAGCTTTAAAGCTACGGGATTTCACTCCACATCTGAGGCTTGCATCTTATTTCACTGATCATAAAACTCTCCTTACCGAGTCTCACAACCCAAAACAATACAGGAACTGCTGAGAAAGTGTGTCAAAGCAAAATTCCTTTTGGTTTGCCTCATTCTCTTCCTTAATTGTTAATTACTGGAAAACCATTGCCAAGCAAATCCTTGTGCAAGACTGGCAGATACAAAGTAAAGCCCCATTAGAAACTAACTCCACTGGACAACCAGCCTGTCACACTGCCACTCAATGGCAACTAATTTGCTAATAAATGTGGCTTTTATTCAGTATTTTGTTTCCCTACTTCTCTCAAAATGACTGAAAAATCTATTCTTCAAACTGAAACAAATGCTAATTGCATATTTTCCTTTGGATTTAGATATTTACTTCAGGTTCTGTAGTTCACTAATTCAAACTAGAATTGAGCAAATTCATCATTTTTCCTGGCTAAGCAACATAAAAGGGTTATCTGAAAAATCAAGTTACAGTATGTTTAATACAACCTCCAACCCATTCATTTTGGGCAGGACAGATTTTTTTCTTATTAGTTTTTGGTTTTAAAACGTTTTTAAGATAATTAGAAGTTAGCTCTTCTATTTTCCAGCCGCTTTGTATTCTACAGTTTGGCTGGGAAGCAGTGTGCTCAAATTAACAGACTAAACCAGAAGGACACAGGTCCAGAGAAAACTTGACTATGACTCACAGGGATTTCTGAGAAATTAGAGCAATTACAATCTTTGGTTTATTTTTTTTAAGTTACCAATTAATAAAAAAACTGACGACTGCTGTTTTCAAGATGAACAAATCTGCTCTATGCTACCTGGTGATGCTGTGCTTAGTTTGAACTAGTAACAGACTTCATTTAAAGTCTGTAAAATCCTAAAGCCTCAGAGTAGAATGTGCAAGGACAGAAAAAGTAGATATATTCAATTATTCACTAGCAGATTTCCTTATATTTTGACTTTCAAGCTTCTGACAAATCTGACCAGCTGCAACACTGTTTTGACAAGTAAAAAGCGGGTTTCCAGTCCCAAGCTGTTTACAGTACCAGTGCTGTTCTGATGCCGCAATTCAAGTACGGTATCCCTACATGTGAATTTGAGATCGCGTACACCAGGCATTTTCTCCCATAACGTTAGTATAAGCAAGCCCTCTTCCTAAGTTCTCAAACACCCTTAAAGATTCTGAACAACACTGACAATATACTAAATCACATCTCTGCCCCAGAGTGGAACAATCACTGTGTATCCCTGGAAGGCAATGTCTGAATAATATTTCCACATAAAAGCCCAAACTCCAGTAAGAAGGTGAGCAAACACACCAGTGAAGTCAGAGAGTTTCAGAATGTCTCTGCCTACTCATGAATTATCTGATAAGAAGGTAAATGAGGTTAAAAATCCTTCCGCTGTTTTCAACCACACCTAGTCCAGGGAGAGGCCAGCATATTGAACACCATACAGGATCATATTTCTAGTTCCATCAACTAGTGCCAGCTTTTTCAGAAAGCCTTGTTGCCTATAGTTTCAAACAAAACAAAAAACCCACTTCTTATTTCTGGAAAAAAAATAGTAGCTGACGACTGATCCTTTTCCCTAACATAAATCAATATATTGTTATTATAGAATTGTCTTGTGATTCATGATGTTTGATCATTTGTATTAATTAGTATTTTAGATAAGTAGCAGCAGGTAATAGCACATCTGGCTCATTATTTTTACCAGCTGCAATATTAACAACTGTTGAACAAGTTTATGCTGACCTTGTCTTAAGCTTCTTAGTGTACAAGTCTGATTATGACTTGATACTTCCTCATTGAGCCCCACCAACTAACAATGGGTATTTGCTTTGACAACTATTTTCTAGACTGGTCTCACTAGACCAAAACTGGTCTAATCATTAGACTGGAAACCCACTTTTTACTTGTAAAAACAGTGTTGCACTGAAATAAGGAGAAACATCTTCAAGTCTCATAGAACCTAAAGCATAACTGGTATTAATTTGGACTGTACTTCAAAAAGAGTAGCTATTGCTGCTGGACATCGGGCATTTGACATATTTTGGATTTTCTATTTGGACTTTCCAGCCTCCTATTTGGGATGTATTACGGATCTGACTTCGCCATAGAAGACCATTCTAGTAAGACATCTGTCATATACTAATTCCTATGCTGGATAAGTACTTTGGTTATAGCACATGCAAGATTGAAGTTTTATTATTTAGCAAACAAAGGACTGACATTACAAACATATATATATATAAAAGTATATATTAATACAATGGACAGAAAGAAATAGCAGTAGTTAAAATGGTTATTGTTTATACGAGCACCTCTTCCGCTGCATAAAATGTAACAAACTATTTTAAAACTGCATATTCACAGTTGCAGTCTGAATTTCACTACCATATTCTGCTCCACCACACATCATAGGAAATTACACAAACGTATCCACACAGACACCAGATGCTGATGCCAACACAGCCAAAATACGCATAACAAAGTTTTTGATATTGTATAATTAGGTAGGCTAAAACTTAGCTATCAGGACCACATTAGATCACAAATATAGTCACATCGGTGTCTATTTTAAAAAGGAAATACTCATTAAAACTTACACACAAAGGTCTCCACGTGCGTGCACAAGTCACCACACTTCGGGCAGCGCAGCTGGTTCCCTCCTTTCCCAGAGCTTCCAGAGCTTGACTTCTTACCACCCCCCTCACCGACAGACTTCTAAAAAAAGATTTCCAGACAATTAGCCCCAAACAATGGAGCAGTTACACTAGGCATTTAGCAGTGTGTTTACAGAATCCAGTAATGTGAATATTGCAAGAGCCAAATGACAAAATAACTATTGTCAGGATTTTTTAAAGGCTTTGAAAACTTAGAACAAAATGATATAAACATTTTGAAGTGTACACATATCTCCATTTCCCAGGTCTGCCTAGTTTTGGATGCCCATGGAAGAGGCATCCCGTATCTACATTAGAACTGCTTGACTGGCACTAGAACAGTAACAAGCTAAAATGTGTCAAGAACGAAATATACCATTAAAACAATGTAATTTATTCTAACCCCAGAGAAGAAAATAAATCATACTTATAGAGAGAGTAATTTCATTATTGCAACTGTGTTGATTCTAAAGGTTTCTGAAGCCACAACTCTTCTCACACCCTTGACAGACGCAGCTATGCTGGCAGATGGCTGTAGGGTAGATACGGCCTATAAAACAAGCATCTCAGAAATTGCTTGGAAATATTTTATTTTTTACTTCTAAGGCAGAGGTCCCCGACAGACCTACTTGTCCTTCTCCATGTTACCCTGTTTAGCGGTGTTCAAGGTTAACATCTTCTAAATCTATATCCATTTTATGCCTTTGTACTTTGATTAATAATAAAAGCTATTATATTTTAGGAAACAGCAAAGATCTCTCTTCCTTTTTCTAAGACAGTTCCCCATTTTTCTTTAAACCTTGCTTGTCTACTCATTTCTCCTCACAACCCTTCTCAAAAAAAAAAAAGACTATTAAAATTTTTTTATCTTCCTTCTTTATTTTAAAAAAAAAGTTTAATCTGAACCTTCAGAACACACCCATGTCACCTGGACAGTTGACAGATGTCACAACACACCATACTAAAGCTAAGTTATTGCCTGTGAAATCTCAAAATCTTATTTGCTGACTAAAGAGCAGTTTTATTCTCAGGTAATCATTTATCTGAAGAAGCTGTTTATTAACTGTAATTATAGAGAAAGACTAGGATGAAAATAGATCACAGTTATTGCAGTTTACTAACAAGAATAAAACTAGTCTCACAAACTTGCCTTGCTTAATACAGCTACCAAATCGGTGCTGAAAACAAAAACATTTTAAAACATACTTACTTTAAAAAGCCTACTTGAGAGTGACAGGCTTTTGAAGGAGAATAGTTCTGACGAGATCCTGAAACCTGTTGTGGATTTATAACATTCTACAAAGTTTTCAAATGTCCCTTTACGCTAGATCTATAAAACCAGGAAAAGTGTTATGGGATGTTTATAAGGTTTGTCTGCTACCAAACTCACAATACAATTCATTTTTTCTTCACTGTCATTTGTAGCAATTTGAAGGATCAGAAATGTCAAGATTCAGCAAAAGTGTCAAGAAGATTCTAATTTTAAGTAAGGAAAAAAATATACTAAAAACATTTAAGAAACATTTTATAAAAACTATTGAAAAACCTTATGCATGGAGATTACCTTGCTTCCATCTCCAGAACTATCCTTGCTTGCACCATCCTTGGAAGCAAAATATGCTGGTGTTTCTGAAAAGTTTCTCAGAGGAATTCGTCTTAGGGAACAAGTTTCAAAAGTCCCAAGTTTTCCTAAAACAGGGATGCGTGTACGACCACAAGTAATACCTAAAAAAAACCCATGAATATTAAACATTAAAAATACTCTAGTTCTAATCCCAATGCCAGCAAACTCCAGAATTTATTTACATTAAATGGAGCTCAAAGGTTTCAGCAACAGAACTCAGCTGTGAGCATCCAAATTTCAGTTATCCAGAATAAATTCTCTTCATCACCATAATGTTCATCTTATTAAAAGCTGCCTGGATTGTCCAAAAATGACCCAAAAGTAATTCCAGGCCCTCTAAAGTCAGACAATTTAAATTCCCATTGGGTCACGAAATAGGGAACATCCCAGTTATGAAAGAGATCCTCAGTATAAATACAATCAACATCCAGCACTTATTGTGAAATAATCAACTCCTGAAGTAAAAGAGAGACCTTTGAAGTGTCTCCTTATTATGCAAAAACTACCAGAGAAGTGCCTCAGACTCACGGACTGCATGTCTGGCTTTGGCTTTCACCTCTGAACTCTACTAAAAACTAGTTTCCTGGAATTTGAGGTAACACTTGACAAAAAAAGTTGTCCTGAGGGAAATTAAAAGGTAGCATCATATTTGGCATGTGCCAACCCTTTACAGACAGGCACAAGTAAATTCAATGTAATCTTAACTTTGTTGAAATAGCTTATTGCCAACATGAAAAACAACCTCATTGAGAAACTAAACAGCCTTTTCCTCCTCTTGCAACAGCGGGCAGGATTACATTTCATGACTGGATATGATGTGAATCAACATATGTCCTGCTTGCGATTTCAACATATCTCAACGCAGACAAGAGCCTGAAATCCATACCCCATATCTCGCTCTCATTTAAAGTGGCAAATTTCTCACTTGCTTGTTTTTGATAAGAATTCTGTGACTTACCGACAGAAGAACTACATAGCAACAATGACAATTGAAAACTTGCTGGTAATACACAGTTTTACTGTTAGAGAAGTGAGAGAATCCTATAGAAAACTCCAAAAACTCTTCTAAAAAAGGAATAAAAACAGTAAGAATGGCAAGAGCAGTACAGTTCCTTTACTCTGAAAGAGGTAACAATGACAACTAAGACATGGAATCTTAGTTGAAAGAACCCATTTAAGAAAAATCACCTTGCTACTATAACGGGAAAACAGAAAAATAAAGAACAACATTATGGACAAACCTAAATTTACCACAAAAACTCTCACAGGCTTCTGTGGTCACAACTAAGAACACAACATCAAATGAAATTTGAAGTTGTTTTATTAACTTACATGCTGAACTTGAAGATAATTTGCAGTTATTTTTAGCACGACTAAAAATGTAATCTTTTTTTAAAAAAAAAAAATCTATAATAGCATTACTTCTGTGTGTAAAAGTGAGGGAAGAATAATGATCAACGTGCTTTGCAATTCTGAATTCCCATGCTGAGTGCCACTGTAATACAGCAAAGCGCTTTAGATTACATAGGATAAACTACAAAAATAATACAGTAAACATAAAAATACTGGCTCACTTTCACAAGCAGTTGTGTTCTTTCAACTGAATCTGCAGAGAACTCTGAAGACTACGTGTGCCAAGTGCACTTGTCAGTAGAGAATAAGCTGTGGTGAGTGTTTAAAATTTAACGGCTGTTTTGCATTAACTCCCTGTCTTGGGGGCTTATTCCTCATAAACAGTTCCTTTACTGAGGTTTTACCACTTTTAAAGGGAACTGAGACAGGACCCTGTAGAAAAACAAAAACCCACCTCACCTACCTGACCAAAACCCAACGTCACACAACTCTCCTGCAATACAGGAGATTTGGCCTGTGGAGAAAGGATGAAGCACTAATAGAGAAACTCAAATATTTTACCACTAAGCACTGCATGAGGACTAAGGATAGCCAATTTTAATTCAGAGTGCTGCTGTGACACAGAAAACACACTGAAAACTGTATTGGATGAACTATAAAACTATACACTGTGCCAAGTACTGAGCCCATAAGTGCCACGTTACCGACTGTGCCCACGTATCGATCAGAAATGCTGCAGCTGTGGGGCTTCACCTCCAGAGCTTGGCAGGACGCTGGCAGCAGATCCAGGCTGGCCAGCAGCATTACACCCACGCTGTAACGCCTTTGTTGCTGTTGAATTCACTCTCAGAAAAGTCTTAGCCGGCCAGCCTTTTGGGAAAGTCACACTCACCCTGCTACACAAGCCAAACTCTAAAGAGCGTAGGTAGGCTAAACCAGAAAAAAAAAAATTAAAAATAATCATATTACTGCTACATCGGCCCATGGCTAAACATGACAAGCCTTGTTCCTGTGATTATCATGAGGTCTGAGTGATATTTTTGACAAAATATCGTTATACCATTAAAGAAAGAAGCAGTAAGAAAGTTATTGCAATAAATCTTGCCTAAATAAGCTCAAAGGCAGATTTTCAGGAGAAATCAACATTCCAGCCCAACGACTGGCAACTTCCACTGAATGATCCAGATCCTGATAGATGTTCAAATATGCAACAGCTGGCCAGCACAGCAGTATTTGCTCACACACACAGCTGGCAGTCAGAGCTTGGGTGGTTTTTTTTGAAACAGTAAATTTAAAGGACATGTACATAACATAAGAACGTTGGTAGCAGCAATGGCATCTATCCAGGGTGTCCAGATCAGTGTGTTAAGAAATAACAGGAGGTTCCTTTACACCTTATTAACCTTTAATTGATACTTGAGGAAAGAAATACTGATTTTTGTGCCACGCTTCAAATATCTTGGAACAATCTATTGCCCAAGGAAGCGACATGGAGACTGTGACAGAAGTGAAATCTCTCTGTCCCACACAACACTTGATCAACTAGACTGACTCACACACTCTGAATACTCTCAAGTTTGTACCAACCATCAACAGCAAACAAAGTACCTGGCAGAAGACATCATCTGTTGCAACAAAAAAATGCACCAAAACAAGATTTTCAATTTTTTTAGAAAGAACTTTCATGGAAAGCTGATGCATAAATAATCTTAATACTCTGTATGTGTTTTAGTCTCATTTGTTCCTTTACATATCCCTTTTAAATCTTAGTTCTGACAAAAAAAAATAAGATTAACAAACATAGTTCTGAAGTTAATTCACATTGCTTTAAAGTTTATCATTTCAGTGAGTTTACATAAGGCCAGACAGGCTGGAGCTGAAAGTACTGGTTTAAACCTTTCAGCACAGGTGACGTCAGAGATGTAAATGTAAAGTCAACTGCAATGAGTTAACTCACCTCTTGAAGGCAATAGATCATCTCTGACTTGTCAGGCTATTACTGAGTACAATCATTCAAGATCTTGTTGCAAATGTGGCAACAGCAGAGATTTTCAGCACAATTTGGAGGTGGTCTGCCCTTCACCAGAAGCAGCACACAGTATGTCAACTCTCACTACCAGCAAGAACATGATGAAAAGGACAAAAGTAGTAAAAACATAACAGCCTCCCTCAGCTTCAACTTCCAGTAAGTGGTTTGCACAGCCTCATGCTTCTACCAAGTTGGAAATAATTACTTTTTGCTAACTGAGCCCCAGCCTTTATGAGAAATATTTCAAAAGTTTGGGTTATTAAAAAAGGCAGGCTTTTAATCAGTCAGCTAATTAAGCTCATTTATTAGCGCTGCAGGGTAACACACACTGGACAACTGCTGTTGAAAATCTTTCCCGTTGAAATAAACTATTCTCGCGTTACATTTCCCAAAAGATATTCCAATAGGGGCTCATTTTCCAGAACTCTGCACCACGTAACACTGCCCTTAATCCTGACACACCACCGGCCGTCCCCTCACACCAGGGGGTCACACCAGCAGAAGATTAATAGAAGGGGAAAATGAAAAAAAAAAAAAATGAAAAAGAAAGAAAGAGAAAGGCCGAAGCAGCCACCCGTTCCCTGAGCGAAGCCCTTATCGCAGCGCTGCAGCGCGGCCCCCGG